ACCACACGCGTCATCAATAGCTGCGCCATCACGACCACGTAATGGCTGCGTTCAAAAACCATTGCGCGCCTACTGAACGTGATATTCAGTAGGCGCGCAATGGTTTTTAGTCATGTAACTCTATTGTAGATAAAACATGTAAAGTACTGAAAAAAAAATTCATAAAAAACGTTTTAATAACAAGCTTTTATGTAATGATGCACTAAAAAGTAGAAAATAAATTATAGACTACTATTTAAATAACTATAAAGAAAAGCGTGGGTGTCTTCCTTAACATTAGTAAAGGTATCCAATAGATACTAAAGTGACCCACGCTTTTCTTTATAGTTATTTAAATAGTAGTCTATAATTTATTTTCTACTTTTTAGTGCATCATTACATAAAAGCTTGTTATTAAAACGTTTTTTATGAATTTCTTTTTATGAATTTTTTTTTACAAGCTTTTATTTAACTCACTTCCTCGTCAGTCTGTCTAGATAGAAACGCATGAGTGAAAATTCGGACAGTTCTACTTGACTGATACGATTCACAGTTGGCACGTGGGTCAAGACATGAAGACAATGCAATCTGAAACTAAATTTGACTTAATTTGATGCCTAATTAATTTTTTATGAATTAATTAAAATTTGGACCGAATTAGTAGGCATGTCTAGCCAACCACACCACACGCGTCATCACCTTCAATAGCTGCGCCATCACGTAATGGCTGCGTTCAAAAACCATTGCGCGCCTACTGAACGTGATGTTCAGTAGGCGCGCAATGGTTTTTAGTCATGTAACTCTATTGTAAATAAAACATGTAAAGTACTGAAAAAAAATTCATAAAAAACGTTTTAATAACAAGCTTTTATGTAATGATGCACTAAAAAGTAGAAAATAAATTATAGACTACTATTTAAATAACTATATAGAAAAGCGTGGGTGTCTTCCTTAACATTAGTAAAGGTATCCAATAGATACTAAAGTGACCCACGCTTTTCTTTATAATTATTTAAATAGTAGTCTATAATTTATTTTCTACTTTTTAGTGCATCATTACATAAAAGCTTATTATTAAAACGTTTTTACAAGCTTTTATTTAACTCACTTCCTCGTCAGTCTGTCGTCAGTCGTCAGTCTAGACGGAAACGCAGGAGTGAAAATTCGGACAGTTCTACTTGACCGACACGATTCACAGTTGGCACGTGGGTCAAGACATGGAGACAATGCAATCTGAAACTAAATTTGACTTAATTGGATGCCTAATTGATTTTTTATGAATTAATTAAAATTTGGACCGAATTAGTAGGCATGTCTAGCCAACCACACCACACGCGTCATCAATAGCTGCGCCATCACGACCACGTAATGGCTGCGTTCAAAAACCATTGCGCGCCTACTGAACGTGATATTCAGTAGGCGCGCAATGGTTTTTAGTCATGTAACTCTATTGTAGATAAAACATGTAAAGTACTGAAAAAAAAATTCATAAAAAACGTTTTAATAACAAGCTTTTATGTAATGATGCACTAAAAAGTAGAAAATAAATTATAGACTACTATTTAAATAACTATAAAGAAAAGCGTGGGTGTCTTCCTTAACATTAGTAAAGGTATCCAATAGATACTAAAGTGACCCACGCTTTTCTTTATAGTTATTTAAATAGTAGTCTATAATTTATTTTCTACTTTTTAGTGCATCATTACATAAAAGCTTGTTATTAAAACGTTTTTTATGAATTTCTTTTTATGAATTTTTTTTTACAAGCTTTTATTTAACTCACTTCCTCGTCAGTCTGTCTAGATAGAAACGCAGGAATGAAAATTCGGACAGTTGTACTTGACCTATACGATTCACAGTTGGCACGTGGGTCAAGACATGAAGACAATGCAATCTGAAACTAAATTTGACTTAATTGGATGCCTAATTAATTTTTTATGAATTAATTAAAATTTGGACCGAATCAATAGGCATGTCTATCCAACCACACCACACGCGTCATCACGTTCCATAGCTGCGCCATCAGGTTGAATAGCTGCGCCATCACGTTCAATAGCCGCGCAATGGTTTTTAGTCATGTAACTCTATTGTAAATAAAACATGTAAAGTACTGAAAAAAAAATTCATAAAAAACGTTTTAATAACAAGCTTTTATGTAATAATGCACTAAAAAGTAGAAAATAAATTGTAGACTACTATTTGAATAACTATAAAGAAAAGCGTGGGTGTCTTCCTTAACATTAGTAAAGGTATCAAATAGAAACTAAAGTGACCCACGCTTTTCTTTATAGTTATTCAAATAGTAGTCTACAATTTATTTTCTACTTTTTAGTGCATTATTACATAAAAGCTTGTTATTAAAACGTTTTTTATGAATTTTTTATCAGTTCTTGTTCTTTTGGGATATCTTCTTCTGTGTTTGTACTTGCAGAAGAATACACACAATTTTAATACTCATCTTTGTATGTTTTGAGAATATAGATTGGATAACCCCACTAAACCTAAGAAACCCCCCCCCCCCAACATTAACTGGGCAACCTTTATTTACGGTGAATAATTAAATTCTGCTTAAATTCCTCTTGTCTAATATATTCCCTTGATCAGAAGTGTGTCTCAAGTGCAGAAATAACAGCTTTTTTTTTTTACTGAATTTACTTGTTGTAAGCCTCTCTCACAAAATAGGTAGACCATTTCTGTTTTTGGAATCAATCAAGTAGGCCTTTACAGCATTTTCCTTGCTATCTAAGAATTATAGCAAGGAGATAATGCGTATATGATAACCATCCAAAGAAGCGTATTATGGCAGTCGACAAACTTCCGTATTCTGACAAATATTTTTCAGTTTACATTAATTATTAAATTGTATTAGTTACTTCCCATCTACTACAAAATCAAACGGTACAAGGGATACAACCCATAACTATGTTCCCAAAGTATTTTAAAATGGTGAAATTCAATAGTAAGAAACTGGAAATACGGATCATTATTTTACAAACACGAATATTTTATCAGTAGACATGACTATTTAATCAGTCTTTATAATTAATACATTTTAGAAATATCTCTGGCATCTATTTGCATAGAGAAAAATGTTTGCTGAATTAAATACTTATTTTGTAGACTAACTAATCTGAAGTTGAAACTTTGATGCACATGCGACAGCGATTCAGTACGCTTATGTATACTATATCTGTAAAATATTACCATAGCCCCAAACGGGTTACTAGATCTATATCTATTTTGATATGCAAAGGAAAACTATTTCTCTTTAAGTATACATCCTATTTCTTAGTATGCGTAGTCGACAAATTTAATAGTAGATTAGTGTTGGGGGAGACGCCGGGATTTTTAGTTGGTTCGTATTGGTAAACTCTGTAGGAAAACAATGCGAAACCGCAAGTGTATGGAATCTGCTGACTCCCCCCTCCCAATATACAATCATGTAGTGTATGGGCTGAAGTCATTTTACATGCCATTTGGTCGCATGTTCTACATGACATTTAGTCGCATTCTCTCAGCATGTTCTACATGATATTTAGTACATCATTCTCCACATACCGTTCAACCTCTCTGTCTTGACACGAAAAGTACTCACGCTGGAAGTGTTTCACGTGCTCTACCACGAGTGCCCCCAATCGTCCGGCCTTGTGTCATTATTCACCTGACACCCCCCCCCCCCCCCCTCACCGGATAACTTGATCAAGTGTTGACACCACCCTCCCTGATAAGAAATGCCCGCGATAACAACCGGCCCGTTTCGACATTTCCGCGGGCCTCGGATGTTTGCTCGACCGCTGATCGATCAAAGCCCCCGAGTCGACGGCTGATCACGTGATCAGATGAGCTGCGGGACCGTCCGCGTGACGACGGCACAGAACTCCGGCAGCGTTGACATTCAACTTGACGAACCTCCGGGCTATGTGATGGTTATTATTGGATGTTTCGAACTGCTAGTAACCCAATACAGCCCTGCTTTGGGCTCCTGTGTGAATGGCATGATAAAAGTAAACTGCTAATAACCCAGTACAGTACGGCCATGCTTTGGGCTCCTGTGTGAATGTCATGATAAAAGTAAACTGCTAATAACCCAGTACAGTACGGCCCTGCTTTGGGCTCCTGTGTGAATGTCATGATAAAAGTAAACTGCTAGTAATCCATTACAGCCCTGCTTTGGGCTCCTGTGTGAATGGCATGATAAAAGTAAACTGATAATAACCCAGTACAGTAAGGCCCTGATTTAGGCTCCTGTGTGAATGTCATGATAAAAGTAAACTGCTAATAACCCAGTACAGTACGGCCCTGCTTTGGGCTCCTGTGTGAATGTCATGATAAAAGTAAACTGCTAGTAACCCAGTACAGTACGGCCCTGCTTTGGGCTCCTGTGTGAATGTCATGATAAAAGTAAACTGCTAGTAACCCATTACAGCCCTGCTTTGGGCTCCTGTGTGAATGGCATGATAAAAGTAAACTGATAATAACCCAGTACAGTACGGCCCTGCTTTGGGCTCCTGTGTGAATGTCATGATAAAAGTAAACTGCTAATAACCCAGTACAGTACGGCCCTGCTTTGGCCTCCTGTGTGAATGTCATGATAAAAGTACGACTGATATATGGGCTTATTTGTTTCAGCTGCTTTTATTTGCTCAAATACTAGAGCGCAGAAGGATGCATTTGCTTCAACGGCTTTATTTGCAAAAATACTTCACTACTTAACAGTACATAAGAACTTATCAGTATTTTTAAACAAGAATTATTTTTTAAAAAAATGATAAATATTACACAAAAGTAGTTTTCTTGGATATTTGATTATATGATACATTTAGAAATATAAAAAAAAATAAAGTAACAACACTGAAAATTCTGTGTTTAAAAATAGTATTCATTTTAGCACAGTTTTTCTTTACCCCTAATCTCTGACATGTGTTTGTGACAGCAGAAGTTTTTACCTTATCTGGTGGTGACAAACGTGGGCAAATGTTTTGCTAGGTCATCTAATCGCTCTGCTTCTTTCATGTGTCTAGTTTATGGGTAGAAGGGGCGTTGTTGATGATGTTGGGTTTGTTGAATGGATTTTAATTGTTGCTGATGTTGGGTTGATTGAATGGATGTTTGTTGTTGATGATGTTGGGTTGGTTGAAAGGATGTTTGTTATTGTCGATGTCTGGTGGCTGTTTGTTAAGGGTGGTGCTGGTTACCGGCTTAAATGTCAAAGGTCAGCATTTCTCGTTTGATTTAGGCAATGCATTAATTAGTTTAAAGTCAGAATGGCCTTTAGCATATTTAACTAGCTATTGATGAGGATTTCTGTAGTTGCCATTAAAACAACTAGCTATTGATGAAGATTTCTGTAGGTGCCATTAAAACAACCAGTTATTGATGAAGATTTCTGTAGATGCCATTAAAACAACCTGTTATTGATGAAGATTTCTGTAGGTGCCATTAAAACAACCAGTTATTGATGAAGATTTCTGTAGGTGCCATTAAAACAACCAGTTATTGATGAAGATTTCTGTATGTGCCATTAAAACAACCTGTTATTGATGATGATTTCTATAGGTGCCATGGTGACAACCAGTTATTGATGAAGATTTCTGTAGTTGCCATGGTAACAACTAACCTTTACCCTCGACAGATCTGTAGCTACCACACCATCAACGACAAGACCTTCTACAGCATCAATGGGATCAACGCGTCTGACAGTATTTCTGTCCTGCGGGACAACTCCAGCAACTATGTCCTTTCCTACAAAGGACTGAAGTAAGTTGTTTTTTCCTGTGTTGTCTACCATTCATTTAAGGTGTGTGTGTATACACTGAGTACAGTTTATTTTCTGCGTTCTCTACCATTCATTTAGGGTGTGAGTGCCCTTGTTTACACTGAGTATAGTTTACATTTGTTTTAAAAATTTGAGTTGATTTGAGACCATTAGAGATATAACCATACCTTGAAAGGTCTGTGTTGTTCTTTTGGCCACAGCTCTAAAAGAAGTTGTTTGTCACTTATGTCAAGGTTGTGATGTGTCAACTGACCATCCAGTGGCCTTAAGGAAACTGGTTCAAGCTTGTGTAGAGGTGGCTTTTTGCCCACCAACCATTTAATGGCTTTTAAAGAAACAAGACAGTATTAAACATGTATTACCATAGAAACATAATGTTATTATTGGTGTTACCATAGAAACATGACATTACTAATCATGTAATACCATAGAAATGTGACATTATTATTTGTATTACCATAGAAATGTGACGTTATTATTTGTGTTACCATAGAAATGTGACATTATTATTCATGTTACCATAAAAACATGATGTTATTATTTGTGTTACCACAGAAATGTGACATTATTATGTGTGTTACCTTAGAAAAGTGACATGATTGTGCCATTTGTTTTACAGATCACTTCGGTTCAGGACCACCAACGTCACACTTTTTTGTGATCACAATAGGAAGGGGGAGGAGGACGGTTTGTTTTTGGTTCGATCCCATACCCAAACTGGAACAGTAAGTTTTATTCCATTGACATTTTTAATCTTACGTCATAAGTTTTATGCATTGACATTTTTAATCTGATGTCACAAGTTTTATTCAATTGACATTTTTAATCTTACATCCTAACAAGCTTTAATCAAATTGACATTTTTAATCTTTCGTCATAAGTTTTATTCAAGTGACATTTTTAATCTTACGTCATAAGTTTAATTCACTTGGCATTTTTAATCTTACGTCATAAGTTTTATGAATAAGTTTTATTCCATTGACATTTTTAATCTCACGTCATAGCAAGCTTTATTGAATTGACATTTTTTATCTTGCTTCATAAGCTTTATTCACTTGACATTTTAATCTTAAATCTCAACAAACTATATTTACTTAACACTTTTCCTATTATATCTTATCAATTACACAGTGTAAACTGTAATATGGGGTCTCCTTGATATCTATTTCTTTGTATAAACACCCTTCTTCATTCTTGATTTTCACATCGTGTCAAGTTTATTTTCTGGATTCTCCCATCTCAGTTCATCAAGTCTTTACTTACGTGGTACCGTCTTTTAACAGCCATCTGTAAAGAGCTGTCCCACCCCTATAATTCTACACCCTACTTAAATCTTTACCTCATTCAAATCTATGTTCCTTGCAAGTCTATGCCTCTTGCATGTCTAACCCCCTTCAACTAAATGCCCCTTAAAATTGAAACCCCTTGCAAGTCTATGTCTCTGATATACTTATGACCCTTCCAAATCTACACTCTTCAAGTATATGTCCCTTTAAAATCTACACACCTCTCTAGTTCGCACCTCTCATCATTGACTTGCAGTTGTATATCCTCCCTCTAAAATTTGTTTGTAAATAGTAAACAACATTGGGAAAGTTTGCAATTCATGCACTGTTTCCATGTATATTTTGTTGACAGATAGCTGAGCTTTACCATGAATGTTGCTGTGTGGGGGGATGCTGGCTTCAAAGTATGGAGAAGGTTACAGACAAAGGTAAGGTGTCATGTAGGATGTCATCTATAAATGTTGGGTAGGGTGTCATGTAGGATGTCATCTCTAAATGTTGGGTAGGGTGTCATGTAGGATGTCATCTCTAAATGTTGGGTAGGGTGTCATGTAGGATGTCATCTCTAAATGTTAGATAGGGTGTCATGTCAGATGTCATCTCTAAATGTTGGGTAGGATGTCATGTAGGATGTCATCTCTAAATGTTGGGTAGGGTGTCATGTAGGGTGTCATCTCTAAATGTTAGATAGGGTGTCATGTCGGATGTCATCTCTAAATGTTGGGGAGGGTGTCATGTAGGATGTCATCTCTAAATGTTGGGAAGGGTGTCATGTAGGATGTCATCTCTAAATGTTGGGTAGGGTATCATGTAGAATATCATCTCTAAACGTTAGGTAGGCTGTCATATAGAATGTTATCTTTAAACATTGGGTAGGGTGTCATATTGGAATATTTAACATAAAGCAAAATGAAAACACTGTTGCCAATAGCTGTAACTACATCAGAACACTTTCGTTTTGAGATTCGGGGGAGGGGGGTGGGGTTCTAACACATCACTGCCTGTTTATTATTTTTTGCAAGGAAATTCCAAAAGTAGAATAATTACTTTACGAGCCGACTCGCCGTGTATCATACGCCGCAATTTAGTTGTTTTATTTTCTACTTTTCAGTAATTCATAATTTGTGAATTTGACAGTACCAATGCTGCCAGTGAAAATAAGGACGATAACACCCCCCCCCCCCGCCTCCTTTCCCCAACCCCTACCCTACACCCCCCCCCTTCCTGTGAAAGCAACTTCCTCTTAGTTACCCCCCCTAAGTTTAAAATCGTTTCAAACTAAATTATCTGCCCCTAATATTCGTCACTAAACCCGGCTCTACGATTGTAAACATTTGGCGTGAACCACAGCTCACCAGACCATGTGGGGGTTGGTAGGGTTCTACCTAGAGAGGAAGAGAGGGGGCTGCTAGGCGCGCTTACAGCTTGGTGTTTTCTATGGTCTCCATGAAGAGAATTATATATATAGATAAGAGGGAGCTAGTTATTTTATTGTTTTATTTGTTTTTATGATTGGCTTACATTTTTTGACCTGGGTTGGTTATGAATGGCTTACATTTTTTGACCTGGGTTGGCTATGAATGGCTTACATTTTTTGACCAGGGTTGGTTATGAATGGCTTACATTTTTTGACCTGGGTTGGTTATGAATGGCTTACATTTTTTGACCTGGGTTGGTTATGAATGGCTTACATTTTGTGACCTGGGTTGGCTATGATTGGCTTACATTTTTTGTAACCTGGGTTGGTTATCTCTGTGTTTGGCTGCTAGCTGATGAAAAACAAAATCAGCAAGTTAAACAAGTGGATAATGACAGTCATAAATCCAGAAATGTGTATAACCCTTGTAGCCTTGGACATGTTTGGAATGTAAATGCCACAGAAATGTGTATAACCCTTGTAGCCTTGGACATGTTTGGAATGTAAATGCCACAGAAATGTGTATAACCCTTGTAGCCTTGGACATGTTTGGAATGTAAATGCGTATAAAGCCTGCCCAGATCAGAACCAAAATAATGCAAGAAAATGTTTAAACTTAACCAAGAAGTGTAGTGTGATGCTGTAAATCTCTGTTGGGCATGGGGAGAGTTGGGACAATATGATCAGTGGTTCTCAATCATGTAGTGTCCATTAACCACTGTCGACTACCAATGATCTGTGGCTATTGGTAATTGACAACAGATACCCGCATCACAAAATCAAAAACTTAACATCAAGACAGGCACCAAATGAAGGCCTTTTCTGGCATGTTCATAAAGGCAATTTATCTTTGTTTCACTTTGTTTTGGTATTCACATAAGTAAGTAAAGTTCCCTTTCAAACATGATGGTCTACGGAGCATGTTCACTTGTTTCTGTGACCACCGCATATGAGGGGATAATGTGGTCAGCACTATGCCCAGCCGCCTTTACTTTATCCTAATGTGAGTTAGGTACCCATCAGAGTTGGGTGGACTCAAGGACGGCCAACTGAATTGTACCCGGATTTGAACACGAGACTTACGGGTCCAGCTCTCTCCCACTAGGTCACTCCACATATGATTGGATAATTTCTCTGTTGAAAAAAGAGAGTATATGGGAAAATTCAAAGGCCTATCATCTAATCAGTATACCCTATACAGCATCAGATTATAGCAAATCTATCAGATTAATATTACAATATTTTTTTTTACCGTTCAGATCTGTGTTACTGTGCCTAGAGTTACATAACAATGTTAATGTTCGAGTTTCTTAAAGTGATTGTTACGATGTAAATTGTTTGCTTTTGTTTTTATACCTGGTTTATTCTGGCCTAATAAATCATCTGCCTGTAGACGTGCTACCTTGTTATTGTTGCCGAGCTTTATTACACAGCTGTAGTAAACAGTAGGCTTCCACTTCCTTTTCATTTTCCTAATCACTCTGTGGACGCCTCTAATCACTGGCTGGACGCCCCTAAACACTGCCAGGACGCCCCTAATATCTGATTGGACGCCCCTAATCACTGCTTGGACGCCCCTAATCACCGGGTGGACGCCCCTAATCACTGCCTGGACGCCCGTATACGCCACCGTTGAGAGCGTGTTTGTGCACTTGATATCGACCGCTGTTTGCACGTCGCTTGTGTCAACGGACAGTAGCTTAGCAGGTTATTGTCCAGTTATGGCAGTTAATGGCTGCCAGTAATTTGAACCTGGTCAATACGTTCTTCCACTGACGATTGGGGTGGGTCATTTTTAAGGGATGTGTCCACACATTTAGTCAGTCAGGTTTTGTGTTGAGTCTAACTTCCAAGTTCAAATTAAAACAAGTAATAGAAATAAGATTTCTCTAATAGATCTTTTTTCGGGTTATAGTCTAGATCTCGTAAGAACCAGGAGTAAAGTTGAGACAAAATAAGTGTAGATGTTTCTGGTTAATTTCACTATTCTCAGTGTCTTTGTTTTCCTAGCATTAAACTAGATACTTATTTTTATTATAACTACAATCTTGAGTTGATGGCAGACTCTAAATGGTTGCAAATATTCAAACATATGACACGGATGGTAATGAATGTCCTGTGCGTTTGTTACTATAAGAAAATAGGCAACTCGAATGTGAGAGTTGAAACAAACAACTAGCTCTCGCTTTTTATTTTCTCGTATATACGAAGTATAGAGAAAGTATTGTAATCGTGCAAAAACAAAATCGAGATTTTTTCAAATCTCGGCGTTTTACACCTCGCTGATACGGAAAAACATAATTTTGCAATCTTGTCCGTATGTCTGTGTGTGTGTGTGTCTGTCTGTGTGTAAACATGATTACTTGAGTACCGTTACAGCTAGTTTGATGAAATTCATATATAAGTATATTACCAAAATCGTAGATCCTGATCAACTTTTGAGCGATTTCCGATAACCGGAAGTGGTACTTTTTCTACTTTGAATTTTTCAAAAGCCTATAACTTGAGTCCTATTTCAGATAGATAAATGAAATTTCACATGTAAGTAAAAGATCTAATTTGCTACCTTCTGTCAAATTTTGAGTAATTTCCGTTGACCGGAAGTACTAATTTACGCTATTACCGATTTCGCAAAAAACGCACGTAAATTTATAAAGTACTAATAATATCCCGCACTATTATGCACATTTTATTAGGCGTTCACTTGGTGTGCAATTCTTTTTTTTTACGAGAATCCATTCTATTATAAAAAGATTAAGTAATTAAAAATGGATTGCAAATATTGTCTATGTCCTGAGTTGCCATCCCTCGTAGTTTTATATTAGAATATCCGAGAAAGTTTAGGGGAGATCACTCCCGGTTTATTATGATTTACAGTGGAACTACTTGATGCTTTATGACGTGGTCGGGTGGTAGAGCGGGCGACTGCTAACCTGAAAGTCTCGAGTTCGGATCTTTAGCTTGATTCCGTAATACTTAATTAGGTCCACCTAACTCTAATAGGTACATAACTCACAGCCACGACGGGGCATACACAAACCCTCATATATCCGGGGGAACAGAAACAGATGAACTGTATTTCAACTGCCCCTTGAACAACCAAGTTCAAAAGGGCAACTACGCTGGACGTGCTTAAATTCCTGGTATGTAATCAAATATTCAGGCAACAGTCTGGTGATAAACACGACGCTTGTCAATATGTCCCCGATGATGAATATGCAGCATGTGACGACCCCTCCGTGTGATACCGATGATGAATATGCAGCATGTGACGACCCCTCCGTGTGATACCGATGATGAATATGCAGCATGTGACGACCCCTCCGTGTGATACCGATGATGAATATGCAGCATGTGACGACCCCTCCGTGTGATACCGATGATGAATATGCAGCATGTGACGACCCCTCCGTGTGATACCGATGATGAATATGCAGCATGTGACGACCCATCCGAGTGATACCGATGATGAATATGCAGCATGTGACGGTCCATCCGTGTGATACCGATGATATTTCGGCAGATGAAAATGTTGCAGTGGTAAAGATGTGACCAGATGATCTGACCTTGATGCACTTAAAGGTCGCTTGTTATCGGCCACTTGAAATTGTTGAGGTCGTGTTTGGACAAGGGCTATAACCGTCTGGCCTTACAATCTGATGGACAAACTCGTGCGGTCTTTCTCAAGTGTTTTGGTCTTGGCATAAGCAGGCATGCTATTACAGACTAGTGCGATATGACATGACAGTCAAGTGCGATTTGACATGACTTTAAGATGACATGCTGTTAAATTTCGATATGACATGACATTCGTTGACATGCGATTACAGTCTAGTGCGATATGACATGACATAAGTTGACATGACCGTCAAGTGCGATATGACATGACATAAGTTGACATGACAGTCTAGTGCGATGTGACATGACATAATGTTGACATGCTGTTAAAGTGCAATATGATATGACATTAGCTGACAGTCAAGTGCGATATAAAATGACATACGTTGGCATGGTATGTCAAACATGCATAATACACCTGACATAAACTGCAAATGTTCTTTCAACTGTTTGACTTATCTGTGATGTCTTATGTGACTAGCGTATTAACCAATGATATAAATTGATCTTCACCCCCAGACAAGGCGGCATCAATAACATGGCGGCATGTTCCAGATAACACATTCGACTCGAATCCCAGCGAGTCCCTAGCCAGTATCTCAGACACTAACCATGGGGCCACATTTATTTTAGTCTTCTCATACATTTACCACCAAAATGTATTATTTACTGTCTTCACCTAAAGATTTCTGCTAATATTTTGCCACCCCCCCCCTCCCCGGTCACGCATATAATGTCGCGTGTTCTGCTTGTGTTGGGGAAAAGTTAACCGGGAACCAGCTGTTGGGTCCTTCATTCATACCAGTATTACATCGATTTGAGTGCATTGGTCGTAACAATGGATTGAAATCTATACCAGCTAGGTTTGGTAGTTCTAAACTCACCGCATGCCGGGGTAGGCTATAAGACCGGCTGGGGTTGGATTAACGTACATGGGCTGCAGCAGTAGTGTTGCTCGTGATTTTTCGATCTCATCTCAGAAGAGCAGATCATCTTAGTGCAGTAACACCTTCGATTACAGCGGCATTTTGTTGGGCATAAGTATCGGTAGTTTCATCGGTGGGATACTCGCTCACACGGATATGCAAACCTGCTCCCTCCCCCCTCTCCTTTCTCTCCACCCTTCCCCCCTCCCTACACACACACATGTTCTGAATGCCACTTTGATCAGTTGCCAACACTAGTAATACAACGGGATTCCACTGTAAAAAGAAAGCTATTGAATGTCATCGTGATGCCCGTAACAATGACCTTAGCACAGTGCCCGGTTTGATGCCCGTAGTACGGTGCTCTGCTTGATGCCCGTAGTACGGTGCTCTGCTTGATGCCCGTAGTACGGTGCTCTGCTTGATGCCCGTAGTACGGTGCTCTGCTTGATGCCCGTAGTACGGTGCTCTGCTTGATGCCCGTAGTACGGTGCTCTGCTTGATGCCCGTAGTACGGTGCTCTGCTTGATGCCCGTAGCACAGCGCCATTGTGATGCCCGTAGTGCGGTGCCTGCCTTGTTGCCTTTAACACAGTGCCCTGCTTGATGCCTGTAACACAGTGCCCGGCTTGATGCCCATAACACAACGCCCGGTATCCATGTCAGCATCTCTAGACTGCTGTACACTCTAGTTGAAGGTGATAACTTTATGATGAAGCCTGGGTTGACTCCATTGACTCGCAAAACTTTGTTTTAATTCTAGTCTGTAGTTTACTTTATGTTTTGATGAATTGTGTGTCATAAAAGCCTTGGAGTTCTCAGTAATAAATTATGTCCCCGAATAGTAGTTGTGTGTGGATGGGGGGGGGGGGGGGGAAGTGATTCCTCCAACTACTACGTTATGCGAGTCAACGGTCTAGCGACATCTCAGCAGCTAATTGTGTACAAGTCTCTTAGTTTACCACTAGGTGGGTCCGTGTATCGTGTCTGGTTAAATATTATTATCATTATGTGAGATGGGGAAATCATTGTCACCGATAAAGCTAAAGAAAAAAAGAAAATCCAGCATACAATAAATTTTGAACTATAAAAATAGTGGGCTTTTTTTTTCTTTTTTTTTTTAAATGGAACCAACATCACGACATTGTCTATTTAATTTTCTTATTACCCACACAGACTAGCTAGCAGAAAACATAGTTGGTCTTGATTTAAATAAACATATGGTTAAAATGACTGACTGCCATCTACAATTGAATATTAAGTTTGGTTAATTTCCATTAAAAAATATCGGATATCCAAGGGAGGCAACACAAACATGTTACCGTAACATTTTAAAAGTAATGTGTATGAGGTATTCAAAGGTAGCTAAATACAAAGAGAGATTCTCTCCTTTGTTTACTAAATACAAACGTCAAATTTCATATTTGACTGCTCCAGAATCTTTTTACGTAGTATTATCAAAAGACTTCAGTTTAAACAGAAAACTTTAATTGTATTTCTTTTTCTTTTTTTTATTACTTTAGAAAGCATCTTTTGGTTTAATAGTTAGTTACTGGCGGCACCGGTTATATTTATCTGTTCTATTGTTCTGAATAAAATTAGTGTTTTATTTATTTATTTTTTAAATGGAATCAATATTACGACATTGTCCATTTTCATAATACCCACACAGACTGGCAGAAAGCATACTTGGTCTTGATTAAGTAAAGATATGTTTAAATTAAGACGCTTGACTGCCATCTACAATTGAATATTGTTTTGTTAATTTCCATTAAAAAAATATCGGACATCCAAGGGAGGCAACACTAACATGTTCCCAAAACAGTTTAAAAGTAATGTGTATGAGGTATTCAAAGGTAGCAAAATACAAATAGAGATTCTCTCCTTTGTTTACTAAATACAAACGTCAAATTTCATATTTGACTGCTCCAGAATCTTTATACGTAGTATTATCAAAAGACTTCAGTTTAAACAGAAAGCTGTAATTGAATTTCTTTTTCTTTTTTTTTATTACTTTGGAAAGCAGCTTTTGGTTCAATATTTAGCCAACGAACGGGTTATATTTATCTGTTCTATTGTTCTGAATACAAAATCTATCACTCTTCGCTCAACCCAGTACTAATTCTACGCAACTGTCAATAATGATGCTACGTCTCTTTACAAATCATATCGTTTATTATAATTACCTCCCATCTGCAATGGCACTGTAATACAGATGTAGGCTAATGTATGCACTATCATAGTCAGTAGAAGACGTGTCTATAAGACAGGTGCATGGGACCGTGTGTTGTTTAGGGCAAGGGTAGAACAAATCAATTCAAATAAAACGATAGGGACATTGTGTTACCGTGACCGGTTGCACAATGTTGGAAAAATGTTTTAGGTGAAGGTCGGTGAAGTGTTGGGTTATGTAACACAGTAGAAACTTTGCTAGTTTATGGGCTGTAGTAATTGGTTCCCTTGTTCCTGAAGGGTTATCAGTTGTGTGTTGATCCGTTGGCCCCACCCCTTTCACAAACAGACCTGCCCTCCCCTCTGGGTATTATCATTAGCTGCATCAGCAGAAAGTTCTAGTACTTGAGGCTACGAGTGTAATGCAGTGTAAAAGCTCTGTATTATTTGATGGTAAATCAATGTTGAAATCAGTAGATAAGGAATAACCCCAGCACTGAGAGTGGGACTGATAAAATAGGTGATACTTTAACATGCTAAACCTAAGACTAGCTAACCACTTATTTGTGAAATGGTGATACTGATACCAGCAGTATAATGATACTAGTGACTCACTAGTGAGATGGTGATACTAGTAGGATGGTGATACTAGTGGAATGGTGATACTAGTGATGAAGTGATACTAGTGAGATGGTAATACTAGTGATGAAGTGATGAAGTGATACTAGTGAGATGGTAATACTAGTGATGAAGTGATACTAGTGGAATGGTAATACTAGTGATGAAGTGATACTAGTGAGATGGTAATACTAGTGATGAAGTGATACTAGTGATGAAGTGATGAAGTGATACTAGTGGGATGGTAATACTAGTGATGAAGTGATACTAGTGGAATGGTGATACTAGTGATGAAGTGATACTAGTGGAATGGTGATACTAGTGATGAAGTGATACTAGTGGGATAGTTAAGCTGGTGGGATGGTGATACTAGCAGTGTAGTGATACTAGCGGGATGGTGATACCAGTGTGAAATTGTGATACTACTGGGATGGTGATACTTTCATGTTAACCCTAGACAAGCTAACCACTTCTTTACATGTAGAATGCTTATACTAGTGAGATGATGATATTACTGGCATTAGTGGGATGGTGATACTATCAGTATGGTGATATTACTTGTAGGATAGTGATACTGTAGGAATGTAAATATCAACTTGGTTAGACTAGAGGGCTGCTGATTGCTGTCTTTACAGTACACTACCATATTTTTTCTCTATGCTGTGACTGGTTTACTATTGTTCTTTTCCCTAATAGAATTACTAATAGTTTATTTGTCTGATTTCTTCTGACAGGCCAGAAAAAAAAAGTGGGGGCTGATGGGGAGAAGATGCTGGTCATTGTGGGGACACTGGTCAGTCTCATCATGATGGTGGCGCTCATTGGAGGCTTGTGCTACGTCAAGAGGACACACCTCAGGATTTACTCCAAGCTGCCTGGTTAGTTCATTCTTTACTTTATAGAACATACCTCAGGAGATTGCCTGGTTAGTTCATTCTTTACTTTATAGAACACACTACATCAGATTGCCTGGTTAGTTCATTCTTTACTTTATAGAACACACCTCATTAGATTACCTGGTTAGTTCATTCTTTACTTTATAGGACACACCTCAGGAGATTGCCTGGTTAGTTCATTCTTTACTTTATAGAACACACCTTAGGAGATTGCCTGGTTAGTTCATTCTATACTTTATAGAACACACTACATCAGATTGCCTGGTTAGTTCATTCTTTACTTTATAGAACACACTACATCAGATTGCCTGGTTAGTTCATTCTTTACTTTATAGAACACACTACATCAGATTGCCTGGTTAGTTCATTCTTTACTTTATAGAACATACCTCAGGATCTATTCCAAAGTGCTTGGTTAATTTGTTGTGTGCTTTAAGCTCAATCTATGTTATACATTACTATCTTTATATTTTGTATTTATATATGCCTCTTCTAAGAAATTTTATGTGGGTGGAAGCAGAAATTGTAACTGAAAAAGCAGTGTTAGACCAATAGTGTTAATTCACACTCACAGTAGCTGTAGGTAAAGAAAGTTTTCATTGTTAAGATTTTCTTAGAGAGATCCAAGCCAACCATTCCACACATCCAGAACATCCTAATCTTCATGTCAACAAACACTACAACCTGATTATACCAACTGTTCTGTCATTACATCATTTTTCTGTATCTTTATCTACCTATGAAATATGAACTTGAAACAACTTTTATGTTTATTATTGCTAATTTCTTCATAATCTGCTAATTTGTTGTGGGAAGGTATTTAATATGACATGTAGTAAAAAAATATTAAAAATATTTTTAAAAAAGTGCTTCCTAAAACAGTTTAGTTACAGGTTATTTAAACTTAACCCTTGAGGTGCCTGCTAATTTAGGTCTGATACATCTTCTAGGAGTTACCCCCCAGGGCATCAGCATGCCAGTCACCAACAGAAGAGCCGCCACCATGCCTCCCACCCTGCTGGGGAACCCAAACGGTGGCACCAAAAACTCAGACTTCAGGGACTACGAGCCCGCTGCCATATCCAGCGCCCGCAAGAAGATGATTCCAGTGCTGGAGGACTCCAACATTCAGCTGTCAGCTGTGGAGATGCGACAAGAGGTCAGGGGTTAAAACATTATGCACATTGTTTTTTTTTTTTTTGGTGTTTTACAAATACATGAATTTTTGGAGATAACAATAGCAGTGCAATATATGTATTTCATAACACTAAACAGCAGTTTAAAATGTGTATTTCATAACACAAAATACAACAGCAGTTTAAAATGTATAGCTCATAACACAAAATAACAGCAGTTTAAAATGTGTATTTCATAACACAAAATACAACAGCATTTTAAAATGTTTATTCCATAACACAAAATACAACATCATTTTAAAATGTTTATTCCATAACTCAAAACAACAGCAGTTTAAAATGTGTATTCCATAACTCAAAACAACAGCAGTTTAAAATGTGTATTTCATCACTTGTCAAAACTTAACTGTGTATAATTTTTGGTATGTAGATGTGCTACATGTATAGTTTGTGATTCTATAATTGAGGGTGTTAAATCACTATACTGATTATAAATGTCCATGACTTCAATTGTATGAAAAAATGAATGTTCTTCTTATCTTGACCAGGCTGGGTGGTGGCATATTTGGCGACACACATTTGGGGACATTCAATGAGATGACCGTCACAGTCAAGAGATTGACCTTGTCCATTCATGACAACCAGCTGACCAGTGAGACCATGGAGTGGATGAAAGAAATTGTCTGGTTTCTCAGGTGAGACTTGTAGGTACCATAATTAGCACCTGATTGTCTGGTTTCTCAGGTGAGACTTGTAGATACCATAATTAGCACCAGACTGTCTAGTTTCTCGGGTGAGAATCGTTGGAAAATATTTGTACTATGTTAAATGCCTGAGTTGTGAAGCTTCTCAAGAGAAACTACTATCATTGTGAAAATTTTCGTTTTTCATTGACAAGCAACCATCTTGTGAAGGTTGTCAAAAATATCTGCCATTGTTACAACTGGGTTTTGTTTATTGGGCCTCAGCTGGCTGGGAGAGTTTGGTGTAGCTAGATTACTGCCATTCAAAGAAAAAGCTTTTGGCACAAATTGTAGAACATTCCACTGATCACAGTTACAGATGAACATATTGACAAAGTCTCTTCAACAATTCACAGGTTTATTTACAACTTGCAAAACACAAACTAGGACTGTTTTCAATTCAAGAAAATGTACAAGAAACAATCCAACTTTCTTTCTACCTTCTGTTTCACAAACTAGATACAAATTCATCCCTTGCCAGCACTAAGACCCTTTCTTTTTAGATGGCTAAATGAAAACTCCCCCTCATTATGACAACAATAACACAGAAACTAACTAAAACTTATTTTTTCTATCTGCCACAAAACGTCCTCCACTCATACTACAGCACTACACAACAATTATTCTTGTATCCAAGTAAAAACAAATGCTTTTGGTCATGATATAGGTCGCACCACTTGAATTTTTTTATCAAGTAATTTAATTTCTAACAACCAAATGTAGGTATGATCCTTTAGCTTAAGTTTAAAATATTTGTTTTCTTTCCTCTTTAGTGAAATTATGTTAGTTTAACAGTTTTCCATCTTGTTCTATGTATATTTTAATATTGTAAATTTTGCTCATAAAATAACATTTTTATGTTCTAGCCGCCAGCGTCACAAGAACATTGTCTGTGTGCTGGGCTTGTGTCTGAATGGACGGCTGCCATTCCTTCTCACAGAGTATGTGATTGGAGAATGTCTGAAGGATTTTCTCAAGGCCAATGGGCAGCAGTTAACTTGGCCACAGAGAATAAGACTGGTAGGCTTTTGTTTCATTGCAGGCTTTTATCATTTTTTTAATTGGACTTATTTTTTCAAAATGGATTTTTTTTCCTACGTCAGTACAATTAATTAAATGCTATGTTTTTAAGATTGGACAAACTAATAACATTAGTACATGCCCTGAAGTTATGCAGGCAGAGAAAATATTCTAAGACTTATATTGTGTTATCCTAAGGACAAAATATATTCTTTACGTGTGAACTTGAATATAATTGTTTCTTTATTTGTCACAAATAAAAAGTTCTTTTATAGAAGCCTCTACTTGATCTTTTAAATTGTGTAGCTATAATACTTAGTAAAAAAATGTTTGTCGTCATGGTTACAGTGCCTTCAAGTTGCTGATGGTATGGCATTCTTACACTCGACCAAACCTCCTATAATACACAGAGATTTAAGGTGTGGAAATCTATTCCTGTCTGACAATGATTCTGTCAAGGTAAGGAACTTGTTCTTGTGGAAAGAAATGTGCAAGATATTGTAGGGATTTGATTCCATCTACAAAAAAAATAACTTGCCTCTACTATTTGGTGTTGTACGGTGCATTTTTTTACTAAATCACATTACAATGTTTACTTCAAGTTAAAAGCTTTTGCCTATTAGTATTTTATACTTTGGTTTATGGAGATTGAATATTATACAAAATAGGTTTGTGTTGGTGATTTTTTTATAAAAAATATTATTTTACAGTATACTAAATGTTTTGTAACTATTGTTCTAGACCTTTTAGTACTTTTTTCTAAATAAATTCCAAGTCAGGATTTAGAGCAAAAATTAATTTAAAAAAATATTAAATCAAAAACTATTTTAAAATTCATATTCAAATTAGTAGACGACAGCAAGTATTATTCTGCTTTTACTTGTCCATTTTCTTAAACAATTTTCATAAAAATTTCTCATTTCTTTTTGTTATTGTCCCCAGGTGGCAGACTTTGGGTTAATCAGATTATTACAGCCCATGAGGGAGCAGTGTAACAACGACGACTGCAGCTGTAGGTTTTTTCTTTGTCTGCCCCACTATTTTAAGGCTTCAAAACCTTGAATACAAATAAGTTCTGCCCCACTATTTTAAGGCTTCAAAACCTTGAATACAAATAAGTTTTATTCTTAGGTCTTGTTTTTTTATGGCTGTATAAGTGCTCCATACTTAATTATGTATTTTTTAAAGATTGTAAAATCATAAAACAAATGTAAACTTTTTGTAGGTTAATTTATGCAAGCAATAAAAGTGAACATAATTTAGCATATCTAATGTTGTGTATGTTAAGGAAAAAAAAATTAAGTAGTTAATTCTATTTAAAACTACCTTCTTTTAATTTAAAATATAAGATTTCTTGATTTTTCCATGAAGTTAATCAGGTCTAAGACAACTAAGTGCATATCTTCTATTGATTTTTTCATGCCTGTGTTTTTTGTCAGGTCAAAGACAGTTAAGTGCATGTCCAGCAACAGTCAGATGGACGGCGCCAGAGCTGCTGATGTACCCCCGCAGTAGAGAAGGGGAGAGCAATATCATATCCACAGCGTGTGATGTTTACTCCTTTGGTCTAGTCATGTGGGAGATGGTTTACTGTAAGGATCCATTTGATGAGATTGGCACAGAGGCTGAGGTAAGGGAAGTCATTCAAAAATGTTCAAAGTTGTAGAACCTGATTTAATTTAATTTTATGGAGTTTGTTGTGGTTCCTGCTATTGCTAATAAGATTTCAAATATCTTTGTAAGATATTTATGTCAGAAACTTCTTGTTGTTGGCCAAAGTTAACACTCAGTATCAGTTTCTCTCAATCTAGTTCTTTGTAACCATTTATTTCTTAATTAACCAAAAACAAAGAATATCTTTGTAAGATATTTATGTCAGAAACTTCTTGTTGTTGGCCAAAATTAACACTCAGTATCAGTTTCTCTCAATCTAGTTCTTTGTAACCATTTGTTTCTTAATTAACCAAAAACAAAGCAGCATATAGATTTAAAAAAAACAGAAATTGTTTATTTTTTTATTTCTAGTATTGCATTCAAAACCCAATAATCAAAATAAAAAAGAATACAATTGTTACAAAAAGAATATTTTTGTGTGCATTGAAAGTCCTGCTAAAATTTAATGACATGAAAATTTATTTAATTTTCCCATGCAAGAAATAAGTGTTCATGGTGCAATGTTTTTTTCCTCTAGGTGATAGAGATAGTAAGGAACAGTGGTCGCCCTGACACGCCCCCCTCTGTTGACATCATGCCACAGTTCAAGGAGCTGATGAAAACATGCTGGGACCAGCGCCCTGCCAACAGGCCGGCATTCAAGAGGGTTAGTTCCCTTGCTTTTAAACAAAATCTGTAATATGGTGTAAACCATGGGTCTCCAAACTAAGGCCCGCCGGCCGGATGCGGCCCTAGATGTCCTCTCATCCGGCCCGCGATCTTTTTGTCCACGAAAAAAAACCGTTTGTTCTTGATGGCTGAGGAACTTTGCCCAGAAAAATCAAAGACAAACCTGGAAGAAACCGGCCCCCGAACTGAAATTTGATAGTAATACGGCCCTCAGACTGAAAAGTTTGAAGACCCCTGGTGTAAACTATAAAATAATCACATTTTAATGAAGAAATATATTGAAGAACTGAATCTCAATTCTAGGCCAGATGAAGTAGAGTTAATCTAGCTACACTATAAACAGGATTTTTAATTTACACATGCAGAATAATTTTTATAATTAGATTATTTTCAATTTAATTCAACTTTAAGCTAATTACTAATTAGTTGTATAAATGGATATCCCCAGGTGGCCGTTAGTTTGAAGGACTTGAGCTCTCATGCCAGATCCTACCAGAAGTTGGTCAGCACTTTAAAGATGAGACTACAGAAGCAGCATCCAATTGACCATGTGTGATCAGCCTGGTCAGATGGTGATGACATAACAGATCAGGTCAGGTGACCCAACAGGTCTGGTTTGGTCAGCCTGGTCAGGTGACCCAACAGGTTTGGTCAGGTGACCCAACAGGTTTGGTCAGGTGACCCAACAGGTTTGGTCAGGTGACCCATCAGGTTTGGTCAGGTGACCAGTCAGGTGACCCAACAGGTCTGGTCAGGTGACCAGTCAGGTGACCCATCAGTTTTGGTCAGGTGACCCAACAGGTTGGGTCAGCCCTGTGGGACATCTCTATTCTGCCCAGGTATGAGCTACCTGGTCAGGATGAGCAAATAAAGAAGTTTATTAGAGGCGCTGTCAACACAAGGGAAGTAATTTGTGTTCAATAAACCCGGAGTTACATTCACTACATAGAGACATGGTTACCAAACTTGTTTTTCCCGACTGCTCACAAGTAATAAATAATGTAGTATATATTATAGGGCAAAATGTTACTGCATTTAAAAATTAACTTATGACGTGTAAATTTTTGTTGTTAACTTTGTTTTTGGTCCTCCAATATATAAACAAATACTTATTTCACTTGTATATTAACCCGTCTTTTATTTCTGTAGGCACTTTCAATTTTTAAAAATGTGTATTTTATTCATGTATCAAAGGTGTGTATGCACATCTTTTACTGTTTACACATTTTTTAACAAACTGTCTTTTGTATAATTAACGTCTTTTGTTTGTAACATAAGTAATTTCCTTTTTAAAGAAATTTTTTCTTTTAAATGAAATTTAAATGTGTATTTTATATATACAATGGACACCTTTTAATGCTGTCAATATTTCTTAAAGAAATTATGATGGATTTCTTAAACCAGTGTCGGATAATAGAATCTTCTAAAAAAGGGTGTTAGATTACTAGTAGTTAACTAAATACATGGCTATCTCACGTCAATGCTAACACTATCTCCAACCCTAATCCTACCATATGTCTAACCCTAATTTCTAACTAAAAAACTAGTCAAGATTACAATACTACTACCAACATCACACCTATTTTCAGAAGAATCTATTATCGGACATTGATAACTTCAATCATCCAAACTTATATTTTACTTAAAATATACACTTCACATGTATTGTTTGTAAAGAGTGCTTTTAAAGATTTTATTCCTGTAAAAGTTGGTAAAGTTGTGTTAAAGTTTTGCTGGCAGCTTATTGTTCAGGTGAATGCTCTACCTTGCCTTACATTAAGGTTGTGTTCCAGACATTAAACCACAGGTATGGTTTACACAGGTCACATCTGGTTTCTGTCTTTCAAAACTCTGTTCATATTAGTTAGCTCCACCCATCAGCTGTGTAGTAGAAGTTTTCATTCAGCACATTCAGTGTGTGTGGTGGTGGCTGTGGTAGAAAACAAAGTACACATTTTTAAATATTTTCTTGGGACAATCATTTGTGTAGAGGAACTGAAATTTTCTGTGCTTTAGACAAGAGACTCATTTTTTTTTGGAACTAACTAGTTACTGATATTAAGTAGAATTATGTATCATTGATACACAAATATTGTTTTAAAACAGAACAGTATTATGTTATGGAAAGAGGGAATTGAGATTCTATAGTATGAAGTTTTGCCTAAACTTAGCTCAAATTTTGTCTTTAATTGCCAGTATTGATGTTATTGGTTTAATCAGCAATGGTTTATAAGATTTAAACTTCTACAGCTTCCAGCTGATCCTGTTTGTCAGTAATAGTTTCATTGTCTGTTAATGTAATCTGATTAAATATGAAATGTATGGGTTTTTTCTTAATACCAAAGTTGACTATGTTGTTTATGAAAGAAATTAAGAATATGTTTTATACTAGAACAAACAAGTTGAAAAGGTCTTTTGTCCTAATTTTGGTTCTCTGGATTTAAAAAAAAACTGACATTTTAAATTTCTCTGTCTAGTAGATGACTTGCATTTATGATTAATCATTAATTTAATGTTTTTACATAAGACTTCTTCTTAGAGTATGTTTCTACTTATAGCCCAATGACCTATGTTATTCTAGAACCTCTGTACGAAGAATTTGATGGGACTTTTTTAGCTGATTTGATAATTTAATGTAATGTTTATTTAACTATACATTTTATAATTCTTATATATCTGTCTATTCTATTTAATGGTCTAAAACTACAACTGTAACAGTGAAAGAATCGATTATTATTATAAAAGTGCTTATAATTCTGAAGTTATTTTGAAATAATTGCTTTGAATGAGTGACAAGGCATTTATGTAATGGTTTGTGCCAAACTTTGAAATGGTGCTGTTGTAAGAAGCTCATTCCAAATGTTTAGCATAGTTTATGTTCTGTCCATACAACTTTACTTCATGTAAAATCATATTATAAATTTCTATTTTCATACAAATCTGCACAAGTACTTTGATCTTCCTAGGAAGGGATCAAACTAGTCCAAATTAGCCATTTTCTCTTTTAGTTTTCTTAGATAAATTGCTGTCCTCAACTGATGATAATTTTTTGATCAGGAATCAAACTGAGACTTACTGGTTCTCAGTTAATACTTTATGTAAAATCTAATTCCTTTTTTTTTCTCCAGAAAATTTGAGACTTTTCCTTTTTCTCCCAGATACCAATAGCAATACAAAGTTTTGTAAATGTCACGTTTAATTTGAATTAACAGCATATTTTGAAACACCAGAATTAATAGTTGCACATGGTCAACTGCCAGTGTGACCACTATTTTTTAGTGTTGAAGCACCAGAATAAAATGTCTTCTTACAGTCTACACTTATGTTGCACATTGATTACTTAAGCTTAAGATTGAAGTAGGTTTAGCCCATGGATACCTCAACAGCCTTCTCTTATGTTGTGTCTGTTGTTCCTATATCACACCATTAAATAAAAGCCATTCTTCCTCAGGGGTGGTTGTGGAAACCACTAAGAATTCCTGGTGCATGCCAAAAATTTCATGTCTCTGATCAATATTTTTGTAAATGCATGTCTTTTCCAAAAAGTTTTTTTCTGTGTCAAACATTTATCTTCCCTTTTTATTTTAACAATGCAGCTAAACTGAAGAATATTGCCAATCATCTTTTTTTTAGACAGAAATGTTTTGATGACATGTAACATACAATAATATTCTAACTTTATATTCAATAACAACTTTATATTATACAGGTTATTTTTACTGTGATGCAAAATTAATTACAAAATGTAATTCAGTACTTGTTTCAATTGTACATAATAAGTTGATGTAAATCCCTGACTTTTCTGCTCAGCCCATATAACTCAACCTCTGCTTTAAATAACCAAAAAGGACATTTTAAAAATAAGCTTTTCTTTTTGTTTTTAAGTAGAATGTTATTACTAGTGGTTGATTTAAGTAATTAGAAAATTGTATGTATTTATCTAAAGACAATGTATAAAACATTGATCATGATTTCTGTTGCAATAAAATTTAAGAATAAATGTTACTTTACTTCTGTATGTAAATATGGTGTATATTTGTCCTACTGCATGCATTTTTGGTCAATGAATAATTAAAAAAAACAGACTGAATAAAAATTACAATACTAAATTTTTACTATTTTTGTTAAGACTTTAGTTTGAATGAATTAGTGCTAAGTGTGGTGATGTATGAAAGATATGTATGTGGAACGAGGGTGCCTTTACTGTTTTATTGTTAGTGTCTAGGTCAGGTGTTTGTTTTTATATGGAGTGAACAGAACAGCATACGCAAGGGAGGCAACTGGATGAGTGATAGCTGGTGTGTTGTGAGCAAGAGGAAGGAGATGTGGATGGTGGTCGAGGGTTTTGAGCTTGGTATTAGAAGGGTTGTGTAATGTCATGGCACTTTAGGAAGTTGAGAATGAAACCCTTTGGTGAAGTGTCAAGAGCACATTCACATTTTATTTGCTGCTGCTTCACTCACACCGCTACGATAAATAGTGGCTAAAATTTGACAGCATCTACATTCTTTTGATTGCTGATCTCTATCACCTTGGCTTAATAGAACCCTTGGCAGTCAAAATAAAGGAAACCCTGTAATTCTAAACTGCCACTTCGAGTATCACAACCATACACAGCATAGATTGCCATTTTGAAATCAGAACTGCACACAGAGATGGCGGATGTTTACATTACATACTGAACAATCCGTGACATCATATGCAAGGACTATTATTTATTAAATCAGTTAAGTGTTAATTTAGTATCATGGCCATGGCAACTGGAAAAAGGCCAAAACTTTATTTTAGAGTATTAAAATTTGTATCCTTTATAAGCTAAACATTATCTTTTCCCCTTCATGCTTAAGACACACTGGGCAGATGCAGTAGAGTTCATCTGTTTCAATGTACTCAGGATACAGGAAGCACTATGCCCAGCTGCCTAAGTTTCCACAACATCAGTCAGGTACACACCAGAGCTGTGTGGACAGGAACGTCATACAGACTTGAGACTAGGATGCTGACTTAAGGCTTTCAGTTATAAACTCTACCATTCGACTATGCTGTTATGAGCCAATAAGGAACATTTTTTTTTTAAACCAACAAAATGAATGAAGGGAAGGAATCCTATGGTAGAGATTTTAAAAACATTTAATCACATTTTGTTAGTACAAGAGGTCACTGGCTAAAAGTTGAATCATTCACTTGGCTTGTATTCATGAATCATTCACTTGGCTTGTATTCATTGATATTTATGTTGTCTGTTGTCATTTCAAAATGTAGTCTTCAGTTTAAGAGTACAACAGAGACCATCCACAAGTAACACTGAAAATAATGAAGAATTATGACATAAATTTCTTCTTTCTTATCAAAATACTTTAAGGAGAATTATTTTTAATTTAAAAAGCAATACTAATCAATCTCTAGGTATTAATTATATATTACCAGCCTAATACTTACTGTCAGTTTTTGCCAGGTTTAGCATAGCTGCTGTAATTTTTTTATGTTGAGGTCAGATAACAGGCATGGCTCTCTACATAAAGAATCTTCATTTAATGATAAGGTGGTTCGTCATTTCTGCAGAAAATTACATTAATTCATACCTGCTAAAAAAAGAAAATGTGATGGTAAATCTGATTTAGGAATGAAAGATACTGAATTTGAAGGAACAAAGAGGAGACCTCTTCTATTGGGAATGTAGCCAACTCCAACATTTAGCTGCTCATGAAAAGGCAGATACTCAATGCAAAGCTCGAGCTAGCACGATTTTCTTAAATGGTTCCCACACACTGAGAAAGTGTAGTGCACACAACCATGCACCTTAAGCCAGTGACGTCGTTATTCGTGAAAAATTGACACAGCTAAAGAACATTGCTGCCATTAGTCAAGAACTACCAACTCAAATGGTAGAGGCTTCAACGTCTGACATGAGCATGGTAACAAGGGTTGATATGCCATCAAAGCAGGCATTAACAAAGCGAATTAAAAGGACTTAAAATAAAAACCATCCAGTAGAGCCACATACATTAGAAACAAAGCTCCGGACTGTGTCAACCTCAGGTCATCTGGAATAGCCACATCTTCTGTTAAAGGAAAGCTCCATAAACAATGACAAGTTGCTAATATTTTCTACTGGATTAAACATCCATAAGCTTGGCGAGGCTATGTATTGGATCATGGATGGTACTTTCAAAACTGCTCCTAATATTTTAATACAAATCTACTCCATTCATGCCCCAGTAGGTTACGAAAACTGCAGAGTTTTACCGCTTGTCTACATTTTGATGTCTCGAAAAACTGAGGCTTTGTATACACGAGCATTTCAGGACTTCGCAGATATCGCAGAAAAAATGCACATACACTTATCTCCATGGTTTATTGTTACTGACTTTGAGAAAGCTGCAATCAATGCTTGCATTGAATTCCCAACAGCTTTAAAAAGTAAAGGGTGTTTTTTTCATTTTAGCCAAAATATATGGCGAAAGCTACAAGCGTTGGGCTTGGCACTTCTTTATGGTCGGGATCCACAGGTCTGCCTACTGATGCGGCAAATAGCAGCACTGGCATTTCTTCCAAGTGCAGAGATTCCGGCAGCATTTAATGAATTAAAAAACATTTTGCAGTTGGTGAAGTGGTTTGATGAGACCGACGTTTGTGGTCGAGCGAGGTTGTTAAACACAAGAGAGGTGATGGTTCCACCACTTTTTCCACCAGAGTTCTGGTCTGTACATGACAATCATGTACATGGGATTCCTAGGACCCAAAACACGGTTGAGGGGTGGCACAGGAGGTGGCAGGTAATTGTAGGGAAGGATCACCCTGGAGTCTTTTGCTTGCTAAAAAAACTAAAGCAGGAACAAGGTAGAGTTGAAGTAGAGATGGAGGCAATATTGCTTGGAGAGCCAGCAAAAAAGCGAAAAAAAAAACAATATCTACAGAAAGAGGACAGGATAACAAATGTAATTGCAGAAAGGGGAAACAGAACAACACTTGAATTTTGCGTGGCGTCGCGTAGAATTTGTCATACTAGGCCCTATTTTTTTTTCTATTTTGTAATATACCTTGTCATTATGTAACTGGTTTTCAATAAAAAGTAAACATGTCTGTAATTGTAGTTTGTAGGTTTATAAAACTTGTCAGCCTTTTGGCTGTCGGCTGTAATATATTAAGCTTTATGTTTGGGGGAACTCATTCTTCTTGTATTAGTCTTATAATGTTGAGTGATGTCCCTTGCATGTTATGTTTCCGTTTCAGATACAGAATAAACAAGGCGTACATAAAAATGGCTTCCTTGTCTGTTGTATTATCTGTCTAGAATTATTAGATCTCAATCCACTTCATTGGCGACGAGGATTAATCATCCACTAAAAAGAGCACATGCTTACTTAAGAAGAAGCTTGCTAGAGCATGTTTGCTAAGTATTTGTAGGATAATGGCGCTATATGGCCAGATAAAAGAATTTAATTCGAATGAAGAAACTATTCATGATTATCTAGATAGGTTAAGCTTTTACCTTAAAGCTAACGACGTGATGATAGAAGCCAAAAAGAGAGCTGTTTTGTTAACAGTCATAGGGCCTCAACAATTTAGGCTATTAAAGGACTTATGCGCACCAGCTAGTCCAGCTACCAAGAGCTTTAACGAGCTGAGCAAACTCCTAACAGACCATCATGCGCCTGCACCACCAAAGTTCCTGTGTAGAGCCAGATTTGTCTTGTCGGACTTTTGGATGTCGGCCTTTTGTCCGGATCCCGCTTCTAGATATTAGGTTTTAATTATGCTAGTTTATCAACTCTTTTTAGTCAATTTGTGCATCAGTCACCAGGATGGGGGGGGGGGGGGGGGGGGGAAGCTGTGTCTTAAAATAATGTATGTTGTGTTTTGTCAAGCTGGATTACATCCCTCATTCAAGTGATCCAACATGGGGGGCTCATCTGGTTTGACATGTCCAACACTACAAATGCTGGGCAAGAAGAAGGGGAGCAAAAGAAATAACCAGCCCTTCAAGCCAAGAGAAAGATTGATAACTAGATGCCTGTAGTCAGCTAATATCAGTAGAAAAAAAAATAAGTTCAAACCGAAAAATTAAATAATAAACAGTAACTAAAGAATGATAATAAACCCCAATTTTTAAGAGTTAGCTGCCATTTTATGAAATGTCAAGAAAGTCACTGTGTCAACAACAATGGAAATGCAGAAGATATACCAGGGTGTCAACAAGAATGAAAATACAGAAGATATACCAGTGACACAGCTGATAGAGATTGAAGAATGTTTAATTAAGGGGATATGCGAGGCTGAAAGTCACAAAAATCATGTTTTTTTTATCATTGTGAGTTTATTGCACTTTGGCTTCTTTGTCCATTTTTCAATTAAAAAATATATTTGTAAATGAGTTTAAAATACATTGACCCTATAAATGAAAAAATTATTTTTCCCCAATAATCCTTTGACACAATCACACACACACATATTTACATAATATAATTGCCAATCAAATTAATTTGTTTTACTTATTTTCAGGATCCTCTGGGATGATGGTGGTCCATGCTTTTAGGGTGATGTGGTCTCAAAGTTCATAACATGAGGTACACTACAGTCCTATCAGATGGGGATGCTAAGTCATACACAAAGCTTTGGTAGAGATGTCAAGATTAGGAAAGAAGAATGCATCAACCATGTGTGCAAACGCTTAGGCACTGCACAAAGAAATGTTGACAGATTCTTCAAAAAAAAAAGATGACACTTGGTGGACGAGGTAAGGGAAAGTTAACTCAAAACACCATTAGACGGTTGTCCATCTACTACACAAGAGCTGTAAGAGGCCATAAAACAGCTGCTGACATGAAGACAGCTGTCATAGCGTAGATATAAAGAATTAGACGACTAGTAGAGGTTACAAAGGACGGTGCGAACTTGACTGTAGACGATTTGGTGCGGGAGTATTGTGCGCATGTTAAATACAATATTTGTGGCGCGAATGTGACGTGAGCAGGACGCGACAATGTACCAATGACGTAGACCGCGGCAGTAACGTTAGTTGGGGGTTAGTAATTGTAGGAGACGGAGGTATTCTTTGATATTGTGCAAATAAGT